ACCAGAGGTGGTATTCAGCAGGTTCTGACCAGAAATTTTGAGTAGTTTGGAGAACTGGCAAATCCCACCACTGACTGACCCCGCCCCCATCTATTCTCCGCCTCCCAAGTCCCAGCTGATTGGCTGGGTCTTCTTTAGTTGCCCTGCACAGGAGAATGGAGCTGGAAAGCAGGTTAGTGGGGTGGGGAGGGAATATAGATCTTGCCTGGCCCGTTCAGAAGTGGGCCAGGCAAGCATGCACAGCTCCACTCAGTGTGTGTCAGAGAAGCACCCCACACGCACACAGCTCCATTTGCACAAGCAGCGTTCGCTCGTGTGCAAAGCTCCATTTGCATGAGGGCAAGGGTACGTGCCCCTCACACAAATGGAGTTGCGCACGGCCCTGCCACTCACCCCAAACCATCCCTTCTCTATCCCCCACCATCAGCCTGCCAACCCAGAAAGTTTGGGGGGCGTGCTGCCTCAAACCATTGTCTGGTCTTGTCATCATTTAACTGAAAAATACAATTCACCACCCAAAGGCTGCTCTTCTTCTCCTCCTCCTCCTCCTCCTCCTCCTCCTCCTCCTCCTCCTCCTCCTCCTCCTCCTCCTCCTCCTCCTTCTTCTCCTCCTCCTCCTCCTCCTCCTCCTCCTTCTCCTTCTCCTTCTCCTTCTTCTTCTTCTTCCTCCTCCTCCTCCTCCTCCTTCCTTCCTTCCTTCCTTCCTTCCTTCTTCATTCTTATTCTTATTTTGGTGCAACCTTTGTGGATTTCAGCTCGGCTTTTGATCTGATTCTAAGGGAGAGGCTAAGACAAAAGCTTCGTGCATCCTCAATGAAATAGAAGATGGTTCCTGTTTATCTAGGCACTTTATTCTAAAGCCTCGTGGAGTGTCGGATCTTTTCCCTTGGAGACATCACTCCGGAGCCCTTTCTACCCGCAAGAGGAGTAAGGCAAGGGTGTATTCCAGTCCCCCCATTACTTTTTAATCAGCACACCAATTCCACTATTCAGGCTGTCTCACATCTTCTAATCATCACTCTTTAATGTTTTAGCAGATTGTGGCTATTCCAGGCTTGCTATATTGCAGGCGATCTAGTAATTTTGTCTTATCTTCTCCCGGATGGGAATGAGGAGGTCTTTGAGGGCATTGGCTTCCTTTTGCCTTAAAGCAGGGGTCTCCAACCTTGGCAACTTTTTAAGACTTGTGGACTTCGACTCCCAGAATTCCTCAGCCAGCAAAGCAAGTTTTAAGACTTGTGGACTTCAACTCCCAGAATTCCCAGCAAAGCTGGCTGAGGAATTCTGGGGAGTTGAAGTCCACAAGTCTTAAAGTTGCCAAGCTTGGAGACCTCTGCCTTAAAGAACAACTTGGAGTAAACAACCGATAGTCTTCTACTTGCAACCATTTAGTTAGCGACCATTTGAAGTTACAACGTCATTGAAAAATGGGACTTACAAAACCTTGCAACTGTCACATCTGATCAAAATTCTGGTGCTTGGCAGCTGGCATGTACTTGTGACGGGTTGCAGCGTCCCGGGGTCACCGGCCTCCTCAGCTGGCTTCCAACAAGCCAAGTCAATGGAGAGGAGCCCAAATTTGCATAACAACTGCACTGATTAGTTTAACCACCATTGCAAAAGAAAGACTGGTCAGGTTGGGCACAATGGATGTAATCCTCCTGCCTCGCTTTAGCAAATGGAAATTCTGATCAATTGTGGTTGCAAATTGAGGGGCTTACCTCTATCAAAAATCGTTGTAGTGTTTGCATGAAACAATAATAGGTTACATAAATAGCAAATTAATGGGGTGTGGTACATCCAGTAGATGTGGTACATCCTTTTAAATATTTTGGGGTGCGGTTTCAAGCTTCCTTATCTTGGGGGACATATTTCAGATTTTGGACAAGAGTGGCCCAGTGTAACTTCACAGCTGTCTTTGACATTTTCTATTTAAAAGTGGGGTGGGGACACATTTTATTCCTGCAGCTTGCAAGGTTTTTCTTGCTGAGGTCATCTCTCAGCTTCTTTATGGTATTTCAATTTGCATTTCGACAAAGTTTAATATCCTGGAAACTTTCCAATCCAAATTTATAACGGCAGCAATCTCAGCTCCGCGATGCACCAAGAATGCTATTTTACGGTTAGAGACAGATTTGGTTTCTGTGAGTGCCAAACCACAGTTCTTCTTAATTTCCGGTTGGCATTGATTTTTTTTTCCCCTTCTCTCCCCTGATTCTCATAGACCTTTTTAAATCAACTTGGCTAAGAAAAGGAAATGGCAAACTCCCAGTCTTTAGTACTTTGGGGGAAAGCATCTGTCCATTAGGGCTTGAAAATGCCAGTAGCCATCTTAAACTATAGGAGACTAGCTCGATCCCTGTGCTCTGCTATGAATCTATGTGGCCTGGCTTAGTTTTGGGGGAGGAAAATAAGGGGAAAAATTTGTGCCTCTGCCTACCAGCATCCATTAGTATTCATCTGGCCAGCCTCCTGTCATTGTGTGAGAGAGTTGAGGGCTGTTTGGAAACTGAAACAGTATTTGCTGTGTGAGAAGGAGACAGCAAGGAGCCTGGGCGTGGCTTAGCTCAACTTCTGAATTAAAGCTGCTTGATGCTGTGAAACTAAAAGTGAAACTTCTCTCCTCTGCTTGTGTTTTGCATTTGGTACAGATTTCTTTTGAGGTGGGGAGGGGGAGTAGAACTCCTTAGCATCAGAGCGTGTTAATAATAATATACAAAATGCTAATGCTCTGATGGTCATTTCGAAAAATCCTTTCTTAGTGAGCACCTAGAAGCCCAATTTCAAGTTTGTAGGCTTTAGAGTTCTGGAGGTTTTGTGATGATGCATGACTGGTATTTTGTTTTATATGTCTAGAAGAAGATTGATACTATCAAAGGAAAATATTTGTAGCTCAGGGTTGACATGAGGGGTCCTTGGTGGTCTCTGAGCTTGCTGGTTTTCTTGCAGACGTTTCATTACCCAACTAGGTAACATCATCAGTGCTTGTGTTGGCATACTGATTTTCGTACCAGTGTAAGCCTAGTATCCAACCCTACGGTTTGTGGATCCGTCTCCAATAGGCAGGTGCCATCATCATACCTAATTCTGAAATTTTGTCAGGCCTTCACCTTGGCCAGGGTGGATGCAGTACCCTCAGCAGTCCTGCGGAGATGACACAAAAATATTCCTTTTCAGCAGTATTTATGTTTACCTGGAGAGAGAGGCTCACCTAAGCCAGATGCTCTTTTATTGCCCTCTGTAGGGAATCAAGGAAGAGACATATATGGATCCCATTTTAAAGACTTTGCCGTGTAAAAAGCACAATCTCCGCCACTGGTTTTGTCTGTCTGCAACCCGGACAGATCATTCCAGGTTGCCCAATGCTATCATTGTCCTGTCCGTCCTACCCCCACAGGGTTGAAGTTTCACACACATTTGGGTCGGCCCCAAAGTGCTTTTCCGGCGACTGGAATTTCTCGGTTAGTTCCTTGAAAGCCGTTTTTGTTTCTTACCCAGGAAGCTTCTTCAGAAGATCTGAACTCCCAAAGAACCAAAGAAGCTTCTCGGATGAGAAGTTAAAAAGGTTTTCTAGGGGTGGGGGAACCCCAAGAAAGTCCAGTTATCATTTTGGAAAAACGTATGACCTGGAGGATTGGGGATCTCTGCAGACATTCACACCTTTTTGGTGACTGCCAGTGCCGTTTGTCTCTCAGTTAGTGTACATTAGACACGAATAGTATATCTCACATACTTTTAGTGCAGTTTTTTAAAAAAAAATAAAGCTTTGTTCATAGTGTCAGGTCTCTGTATTTGATGGCTGTGCTTTTCTGGCCCCTGAGCCCCGATGAAGGCTTTGATTTGCTCCCTCAGCTACTGTGTCCAGGTGTGGCAAACAGTGCTTGCTTGTGACCTCATCGGTGGCTGCTAAGGATCTGCCTCCCCTTTCCTCCCTCCTGCAGCCACCCACCCTGGGCGTTTAGGGCCAGGAGGAAGAAAGTGCTTCCTCCTGGCCTCAGCCCTGTGGTAGGGCGGGAGGGAGGGCGAGCCCGGGAGGAGTGCCAAGCTTTGAAAGACATGTCAGCTGGCTTCCAGGAGGTTAGCCCCCTGTCATGGGTAGAGTGAAGCCCTCGCCAAGGACGAGTTGTTGTTGGTTGACTTCAGGCCTCGACGTGGTCCACGGGCAGCTGGCGCTTCCTTTTCCTGACTTCAAGATTGTCTCTCCTTGTAAGATATCTGGTGGGCCGGAATCCCTTTTACATTGTTGAGTTAGCCTGTCAAGTGGGATTACTCGAGAAGTCCATAGAAGCCGAGAAACTACAAGCGGTGACGATGTACCCAGAGAGTTTTAACAACCCCGAGGAGCGGTAGCTTGAAATCCGTGCTAAGCATCCGCAGGCATTATTGCTCACGGTGTCATTTTTTGTACGGCTGTTCTTGGAACTTAACTATGCTGAGCTGAAGGATTTTTTTTGGTGGGGGGGTGGTGGGGGGATGTTGGATCCATTAAGGCAGATTTCTCTCCAACTTTTCCGGCATTGTGGACCGGCCAGAGTGAGGAGAGATGAGAGATTGTTCTGGGCGAGCAGTGGTCAAGCACAAGCGCAGCTCTGTTTGCCCAAGCGGTGGGCACCTGCGCCCACCTCTCGCACAGATGGAATACACTTGCCACGTCCAAGTGAGGATTTGCAGGAGTAATCGCCTACCCCTTCTGCAACCTGGTTCCAAATGGTAGTGGGCCTCGGCCCAAGAGTTAGGGACCCCTGCATTAAGGATTCTGGTCGATGCCTCTATCCAAAGAGTTGGACTACACTTGCGGTCAGAGCTCCGGTAGTTACCCCCATTTAAATCACGAGTCTCTAGCCAGATTTTCAAAGCTTAAAGATTTATTAGGAGTAAACCTGCCGGTGCTTTGAGTTGCCACCCAAAATGCTTGTAGGCATTTCTCCCAAGCTTTGTCTACCCTGCATAAACCATGTTTTCTCTCTCTCTCTCTCTCCCCCCCCCCCTTGGTCCGGCAGATCCGAATACGAGATCCAAATCAGGGTGGCAAAGATATCACAGAGGAAATAATGTCTGGCGCTAGAACTTCTTCTACCCCAACTCCTCCTCAGGTAAGTTTCTTTCCTCAGTTCCATTCCTCTTCCAAACGTGTCCCACCTTGGCTTGATAAGAAGTGCATTTCTTCCGGTGTTTATAATACAAAAGCTCCGGGACTAAATCACAGCCAGCATTCACTATGGGTGAGCACTAGCAATCCATCCTTGATGCAGGAAGAATAACAGAGTTGGAAGAGACCTTGGAGGTCTTCTAGTCCAATCCCCAGCTTATTAACGTAGGTTTGTGCGTACAGTGTAAAGAGTTCGATTTGAAATCCCTACACATGTAGCCTTCTTCTCCCCTATCCAGCTGTTTTCCAAGCCCTTAAAGTTAATACAAAGAAATGGGTGAAGTTGTCCTTTCTTCTGCACCCAGGGAGGCCGTGACTCTGACCAGATATTAAAAAGTCCATGCCACTCAATAATTCAAAAGCTTCCTGCAGTTCAGCTTTTCCTCCCAATCTCTTAATAGGTTGAAACTGTTCTTTTGGAATTCCTAACAAGAAAATTCTAGGAATTGCTGCCTCAGCATCTAGAGGTTTGCGTTCATCTACATGCGATGTAGCTAGAATCAGTTATCTGCTCATTCTTGTGTGTGTGAGAGAGAGAGAGAAAGAGAGGGAGAGATATATTCATATTTGTTTTCTTGGTCTTGATAATACTTCTTCCCTCAAATAAAAGAGGAATTAGGAAAATGGGGGAGATTACAATTATCCGTGTTTGGGAGAATTGCTACTATCAAAATGAGCATCTTGCCAAGAATACGATTTCTCTTTCAAACTATTCCAATTAAATTAGATAAAAAATTCTTTAATGAATTGAATAAAATTACCATGAAATTTATTTGGTCGGGGAAAAAAGTGAGAATAAAATTAAGTTCAGATGCAGAGGTGGATTTGGACTCCCTGCCTGGGAAATATACTATAAAGCAGTAGTTTTAACATGGATTAAAGAATGGGCCAATCTGAGAAATAAAAGAATTTTAACCCTTAGAAGGGCAGAGGAGAGGTGGCATGCCTTCATGTGGAACCCTGGAAATAAGAGATATACACACTTTAATAGACATGTAATTTGAAGCTCATTATTAAAAGTGTGGAATGAGATTAAACATAAACATTATATGAAGATTCCAGGATGGGTTTCTGTTATGGAGGCATTGATCCACCCCAATGCCTTAGAAACTGGAAGAAAGATTAGGTTTTATGATGTCCTAAATTGCCAGGGAGAATTAAAGATGAACCAAGAACTCAGAGAACAAGGGATGAAAATAGAGTGGTGGCCATATTTACAACTCAAGATGAGAAATAAAAAAAGATATAGAAGAATTTGGAATTGAGGTAAAATCGAACCAATCAGATAAAATATTAGAGGGGATGGGTGAAAAATTAATTTCTAAAATGTATAATTATCTATTAGGATTTGAAATGGTGGAAGAAATAGTTAAAGGCCCAATGATCGCATGGGCACGGAATGTAGGGCACAACATTAATTTGGAGGATTGGGAATATATCTGGAAACAAAATTATAAAATAACAAAATCTGTTGTTTATAAAGAAAACCAATACAAAATGTGTTATCGGGGGTATCTGGCACCTTCAAGGTTAGCGAATATGTACCCAAATTTAAATCCAACTTGTTGGAAATGTAAACAAATGAGGGATACCTTCTTTCACGCTTGGTGGCTTTGCCAAAAAAGTAAAAAGTACTGGAAAAAAATTAGAATTTGGATGAAAGAAATTACAAATATACAACTAGAATTCAAGGCCAAAATATTTTTGTTGGAAACGTTAAAAGGGCACTATGCAAAAGAAATGAAATACTTAATTCTTCATATAATCATGGTAGCAAGAATTGCATTAGCACAATGCTGGAAAGGTGACCAAATGCCAACAAATAATTTGATAATTCAGAAAGTTCTTGACTGCGCTGAAATGGACCTACTTACACAAAAAACCAAGGTAGACTCAAAATATACTACAGCTTGGGGAAAATGTTACAATTGGATGAAGGAGAAAAACCAGGAAATTAAAAGATAAGGATTTGAAAAATGAAATGGTTAAACTGAGAGCATATACCAAAAATAGAAAATGAATATTAGTAAAATTGTTTTCAATAAATGATCACACCGTCTTGGCTGATCAAAAATATACACTGCTCAAAAAAATAAAGGGAACACAAAAATAAGACATCCTAGATCTGAATGAATGAAATATTCTTATTAAATACTTTGTTCATTACATAGTTGAATGTGCTGACAACAAAATCACACAAAAATGATCAATGGAAATCAAATTTAGCAACCCGTGGAGGTCTGGATTGGGAGTTACACTCAAAATTAAAGTGGGAAAAAAAACACTACAGGCTGATCCAACTTTGATGTAATGTCCTTCAAACAAGTCAAAACGAGGCTCAGTAGTGTGTGTGGCCTCCACGTGCCTGTATGACCTCCCTACAATGCCTGGGCACACTCCTGATGAGGTGGCAGATGGTCTCCTGAGGGATCTCCTCCCACACCTGGACTAAAGCATCCCCTCAACTCCTGGACAGTCTGGGGTGCAACATGGCATTGGTGGATGGAGCGAGACATGATGTCCCAGATGTGCTCAGTTGGATTCAGGTCTGGGGAACGGGCAGGCCAGTCCATAGCATCAATGCCTTCGTCTTGCAGGAACTGCTGACACACTCTAGCCACATGAGGTCTAGCATTGTCGTGCATTAGGAGGAACCCAGGGCCAACCGCACCAGCATGTGGTCTCACAAGGGGAGGATCTCATCTCGGTTCCTAATGGCAGTCAGGCTACCTCTGGCGAGCACATGGAGGGCTCTGCGGCCGCCTAAATAAATGCCACCCCACACCATTACTGACCCACTGCCAAACCGGTCATGCTGGAGGATGTCGCAGGCAGCAGAATGTTCTCCATGGCATCTCCACACCCTGTCACATCTATCACATGTGCTCAGTGTGAACCTGCTTTCATCTGTGAAGAGCACAGGGCGCCAGTGGCAAATTTGTCAATCTTGGTGTTCTCTGTGCAAATGCCAAACGTCCTGCACGGTGTTGGGCTGTAAGCACAACCCCCACCTGTGGATGTCGGGCCCTCATACCACCCTCATGGATCTGTTTCTGACAGTTTGAGCAGCCACATGCACATTTGTGGCCCACTGGAGGTCATTGTGCAGGACTCTGGCAGTGCTCCTCCTGTCCCTCCTTGCACAGAGGCAGAGGCAGCGATCCTGATGCTGGGTTGTTGCCCTTCTATGGCCGCCTCCACATCTCCTGATGTACTGGCCTGTCTCCTGATAGTGCCTCCATGCTCTGGACACTACGCTGACAGACACAGCAAACCTTCTTGCCACAGCTCGCATTGATGTGCCACCCTGGATGAGCTGTACAACCTGAGCCACTTGTGTGGGTTGTAGATTCCGTCTCATGCTACCACTAGAGTGAAAGCACCGCCAGCATTCAAAAGTGACCAAATCATCAGCCAGAAAGCATAGGAACTGAGAAGTGGTCTGTGGTCACCACCTGCAGAACCACTCCTTTATTGGGGATGTCTTGCTAACTGCCTATGCTTTCCACCTGTTGTCTATTCCATTTGCACAACAGCATGTGAAATTGATCGTCAACCAGTGTTGCTACCTAAGTGGACAGTTTGATTTCACAGAAATGTGATTGACTTGGAGTTACATTGTGTTGTTTAAGTGTTCCCTTTATTTTTTTGAACAGTGTATATGTTTTATGTCAATATTTGTATTTGTATATTGGTTTCGTTTGTAACAAGACATATTTTATACACTGTATATATTTTTCTTTCTAATCCTTAATAAAGTTTATTTTTAAAAAAATAATAATACTTCTTCCCTCCTCTGTTTTTCTATAGGCCGGAAGCGGTTCAGAGCCACAGGCCAACGGGGAGACACCTCACGTAGCAGTTATTGTCCGCCAAGGTATGATGGCTGAACTGGCTGATGTATGTATGTGTGTGATAAGTGCAGCTTCAACCTCACGTTTGTCTGTCCATAGAGAGGGTTGGAGCTCCACTTATAACAGTTAAAGAGCTGTGGTGGCACAGCTGTTAGAATACAGTATTGCAGGCTGATTCTGCGGTCAGTTCGAGTCTGACCACTCAAGGCTGACTTATCCTTCCAAGGTTGATAAAACGAGCCAGATTGTCGGGGGCAATGTGCAGACTCTATAAATCACTTAGCGGTGTAAAGCATTGCGAAGCGGTATGTTTCCCATGTAATCAGAAAGAAAAACAGATTTTCTTTGTTCCTCTCATGTGTCCAAGACTTTTGGATGATCTACTCAATACAGGTAGTCTTTGACTTAACAAGAGTTTGTTTAGTGTCCGTTTGGCGTTACAACAGCACTGAAAAAAAAAGGGATTTTTTTTCACAGTTATGAAGATTGTAGCATTCCCATAGTCACATGATTCAAAATTCAGACGGTTGGCAACTGGCTCGTATTTATAGAATAGAATAGAATTATTTTATTGGCCAAGTGTGATTGCACACACAAGGAATTTGTCTTGGTGCAGATGCTCTCAGTGTACATAAAAGAAAAGATATGTTCATCAAGTGTCAAAAGGTAGAAGACTTAATAGTCATAGGGTACAATAAGCAATCAAATCCTACTAGGAAACAGTCAATAAAAATCATAACGATACAAGCGACGAAGTTACAGTCATACAGCCACAAGTGGAAGGGGATGGGTGATAAGGAGGAATTAGAAGGTTAATAGTGATAGTAGTAGAAACTTTGTAAATGGTTGGACAGTTGAGGGAATTATTTGTTTAGCAGAGTGATGGCGTTTGGGAAAAAACTCCTTGTGTCTAGTTGTTCTGATGTTCAGTGTTCTATAGAGTCGTTTTGAAGGTAGGAGCTGAAACAGTTTATGTTTGGTATGTGAGGGGTCTGTAGATATTTTCACAGCCCTCTTTGACTCCTGCAGTATGACGGTTGCCGTGTCCCCGGGTCACGTTAATCCCCTTTTGTGACCTTCTGATAAGCAGAGTCACTGAGGGAAGCCAGATTCACTTCAGCTGTAGTGATTCGCTTAACAACTGTGCCAAGAAAAGTCATAAAATGGGTCAAAACTCGCTTAACAAAGGTCTCAGCCACAGAAATTTGGGGCTCGATTGCGGTTGTAAGTCAAGGACTATCTGTACGGTATAACCCTGAATCCTATCCCAGGATTCCTGGTCCATCTGGAATCTTAAGGAGGTGGCTTAACCCATGGATCAGACTTCAGCAGAGCGTGGGAAGTAACTGTAGAAGACGTCGCTAATTCAATTACTGGTGGTGGAATTCAGCTTTGTCTTGTGGTTTGAAGCAACGGTCTCCAAACATGGCAAGTTTAAGACATGTGAGCTTCATGGAATAGACTAGAATTAGAATAGAGTAGATCAGAAATTAGAATAAAAAATAGAGCAGAATAGAAAATAGGATAGGATAGGATAGAATAGAATAGAATAGAATAGAATAGAATAGAATATACGATAGGATAGGATAGGATAGGATAGAATAGAATAGAATAGAATAGAATAGAATAGAATAGAATAGAAT